CAATTCTACTCCAAATGCTAAAAGTTATGTGTTCTCAGTTGTCTGTCATAGTGTCACCACATGTGCCCATTCTCTGCTGGCTGATGGGCTAATGCTGGTGCTGAGCAGTCAGACGGCGAGCCCCAGCTCAGTAATGGGGCTGTGCCATGAGGTGTGTGAACCTGAGAGCAAGCCCCAGCCCTGTTCAAGGCATGATACAAGACAGTCTGCAGTGATCTTTTGCTCTGGAAAAGCCCTTGGCCTCCAGCAATGCACATCTGGTTGGATGGCTCCATCAGCAAAGCACGGGCACATCAAGCTTTGGAAAGTGTCCATGGAAAAGCACAGAGCTCGGTTCTTGCTACAAGGCACAGTCATGGGATAATACCTGATGACAGCCTCCTTGAAATGTCAGTGCTTCTGGTGGAACAGGGCTTTTTATGAGGCAGCCACCTGTTCCTGCTGCATTACCTCATTGCTACTCAAATCAACTGCTCTATCCCCAGCTGGAAAGTAGTTCTAATTAAAATGATTCATTGCTCAATACCGATTTGTCCCCTATTTTGGGTGGTATCTTAGAAGACAGTATTTTTTCCTTATCACTTCATCAATGGCTTACACTGTAAGGGACCGTACCCGCTGATGTCACTGGGGTCAGAGCAGAGTATGTGGGTTTTGACCGGATGGTGTAGGGACAGTGTATTTTAAGCTGGGCTTAGCTTTGTGTGTGTATTTATACCTCTGACAGCTGAACGAGGAGTGCCCTGGCTCCAAGCCTTATCTCTCAGTAATAATTTTTTTTCCAGATCTTTAGAAATGGCTTCTCCAATGTATTGTGCATGTTCTCTTCACATATTATAATGCAGCTTCTAGGTCACTGAGCTAAGAAAAGACTATAGGTGCCACTAAAGTTAAAGGAGAACCATGTCTCCTTAGAGGAGAACCAGCCAAAGGCTGGGCCAGGTTGCTGATATTTAGAGAAATCAATTATTATCATGTACTGTCTTTATGCTGTGCCAGTTCATTTAAAGATGAAGGAATTATGTTGGCTTTCAGTCTGTCTGCAGAGGTTTGCATGCTCCTGCTTTCAGGCTATCTATGATGAATAGAGGACATTGCTTATTGATCTATCAGTTATTGCAAACCTGTGCTGGGAAGCCAGAGGGGCTCTCCATCAGCTCTTAGCTGGCATCCATTAGCTGTTGCACAGAGGGGGTAGGTCATAACTTTTCAGGTTCTTTTAAAAGCTGCTATTTGAAGGGCTCCATTCCTTAATGTGCTGCATGTCCCCCAGAGGGATGGTGCAGGATCAGGGCTGGAAGGGACTCTGGGAGCCCCAGGCCCTTCTCTCCTCTGCCCTGTGTGGAGCAGAAGTCCATGGGATGGGTGGAACAACTGGGGACTGAACTCTGGCCACGGGAAACATGCAGAAAGTACTCCAAAATTCCTCTTCCTGCCCTCTCATCCCTCTGTTCTCAGTTCACCTCTGCAGCCTGCCTGTGAAAACGTAGTGCTGCTGCCAGCAGGAGAGGTTTGAGTCATTCTTTGGGGAAAGGGAGTGGAGCCTGGCCTCTTCCACCTGCAACACTTAATACTTATCCTTTCTGCCAAGAGATTAAGTTGAACATTCGGCACCTGACACATTCACTGGAGCAACGGCTGGTGGTGGATGTGTCACTTGCTCATCTTCAGAGGAGATGCTCTGGGTCAAGGGAGCAGGCATGAAGAGTGCTGCCTTACTGGGATGCTGCAGGCAATGCCCCCCACGCCTGGGTCAGTGCAGCACTCCACTGCCTGCTGGGAAACAAAGCCACCCTGCAAGCCTGACAGGTTGGTGTCACACACTCGGCTCCTCTCTGACATCCACAAATGAGCCTTGCTGAAGTGCAAAAGCAACTTTTCCCCCTCTCCGGACCCTCAGGAGCTGAGCCTGAGCCTTGGGCGCCACTGGCACCCAGTGCCTGTCTGCATCCACTGCGCCAAGGTGGGTGGCAGCAGCCCACAAGAGCAGCATGGGTAGGAGCTGTGGGTGCAGTGTGCCTGGGGACAGGCTGTTTTGGCTGGCTGGCAGCCTTGGGGTGATCAGAGGAGGGTAGGTTGCATCTGCCTGCATCACAGGCAGCCTTGGCAGCTGCGTGCCAGAGGCCAGATGGAGTAGCTGGGCACCAAGAAACAGCCTGCCACTGCCATTCCCCTTCTGCAGCTTGGCATGGTGGCAGGGCATGGGTGGCCCTGAACAATTGCTCTGCAGGGAGTGCTGTGCTCATGGGGTGAAAGTCCTTTCTGTTTTGTCAGAAAGAGACACACACAGAAATTAATGCAGAGACCAGGCTAAATTCTGCAAGCAGATACCCTTGTGAAATGCCCATGGGCCTGTCACATTTAAATACTGTGGTCACCCTGGTAGCTCTGATACAGTTGCTGGGTTTACACCATACTTCAAAGCTAAGCATGTTGGAGATGCTTTTCTGATCCAAGATCTGTCACCTGCCTCTCTCTGTGTGCCCCACAGGCTCTGGCAGGGTACCAAACAGCTTTGTTTTCTAGCTGCTGGTCGCTGTCATCTCTGTCACTGGATGGCTGGCCCACACTGCCCCAGGGGAGTTCTCTGCTTAGGTGACACAGAATCATAGAATGGTTTGGGTTGAAAGGGACCTTAAAGATTATCTGAACAACCCCAGCTCTCTCAGCCTCTCTGGGGAAGGAGAGGTTGCAGCTCCTTTCCTAGCAGCATCTCCTGTTTTCTGTGTAAATGCTCTGGTTTTGGAAGGTCTTCAGCTACAGCCTGTGTTCGTGTTCAGCATGCTCTTACCTGTTGTCTTTTCAGTCACTATTCAGTCACGGCTATCTAAATGCTGAGATGAAAACCGAACTATTCTTTTGTTTGCCTGTCCCTTTGCTTTGTCGCACCCCTCTTATATCTCCGAGGCAGAAGACAGGGGTGATGCTTTTGCCAGCTTCTCCCAGGCATGAAGTGTGCGGCACCTGTGTGACGCAGCGGGACAAAGCCTCCATCTCCTGGCAGCAGAGCCACACAGCAGCCGGTTTCTGTCTGTACAGTTGTCCCAGAACACAGGCAAAAAGCTCACCAGGGAAGCAGAGCAAAGCCTTGGTATGCATGATGTTTCCTGCAGGGCTCAGCCCCTGCAGCCACGGTGGGGCATGTTGTTCACCTGCAGGCATCTCGGGGCTTGTTCTGGCTGCCGAGGCAGCAAGGCAGTTTCTCTTTGGGTTTTCTGGCTCTGAGACCTAGATACTTTTGTCCTGGTCCTGAAGAAGGTTCTCACAAAGTTATTTTAACACATTCCTGTGTGATGAAGCACCAGCGCCATCCAACATGTTTTCCAAGGCTGACTGGAAATGAGGTGCTACCATGCGGGTGGTTCCAGGATGGGGAAAGCTTTGGGATTTTCTTTCTCAGTCTCTGATAGCAGGCTCAGTGTGTTCACGCTGTCCTAAGGGTACCTCAGAACTGCATCTTTCTGGAGTCCCCTAGCAGAAACTTAAAAGGCCATCTTCAAAGTATTTTTCACAAGTAGTAAAGAGGTCAAGGCAGTTCTCATCACTGCAGCTGCAGCTCGAAGATCAGGGATTTTTCCAGGTCGAGGTTTGCCCCTTCCGACACTTTTCCCCCTTTGGGCTCCTCATGAGTGCAAAGTACCTCATATGGGGGGAGACTTGCATACGCTTATGTTTATTTATGTAAATGGTTCTAAAAGAATGACAAGGGAATTGAAAACGGATCTGTGCAAAGATGGGAAATGACAACAAAGGAGAAAGCCCTTTAGCAGCACAGGAGAGATCTGGACCTGCTTGAGTGGGTCCAGAGGAGGGTCAGAAAGATGCTCCAGGGAAGACCTTAGAGCAGCTCCCAGTGCCTAAAGGGGGTCTGCTAGAAATGTGGGGAGGCACTTTCTACAAGGGCCTGTAGGGACAGGAAAAGGGGGAATGGCTTTAATGTGACAGAGGGGAGATTGAGATTAGACATTAGGAAGAAATTCTTCCCTGTGAGGGTGCTGAGGCGCTGGCACAGGGTGCCAAGAGAAGCTGTGGTTGCCCCATCCCTGGCAGTGTTCAAGGCCAGGTTGGACAGGGCTTGGAGCAACCTGCTCTAGTGGAAGGTGTCCCTGTCTGTGGCAGAGTGTTGGAACTGGATGAGCTTTAAGGTCCCTTCCAACCCAAACCAGTCTGAGATTCTGTGATATGATTGAGAAAAGACAGGGGAGCACTGATCTCTGCCAGCATCTCTGCAGGGTCTGCCAGGTTGTTATTCCCCAGCTTACACTGACAGCCCCTTAACTGTGGCATTCAGAGGGGCACTGTCCCATGGCTGATAGTCTGGGGGAACTGTGACACGCTGCAGAGGCTGCTGCCCTGCTCTCTGCATTCTGCACCTGCACTGGCTCTGTGCTTATGGGACCAGGGTGGTTTAATTAAAGGCAGCAAAGCCACTTCCAGAGTCAGCTCTGCAAAGCATTGGCTGCGCGTGCAGTGCCTGCAGGCCAGCAGCATGGCATGTCCTGGGCCGCATCACCAGCTGCCTGTGGTTCCTGAAGTGCTTTCAGTGAGCAATCACTTCCCAGTGTCGAGTGCTCTCAATTGCCTGTGTTTCTGGAATTGTTCAAGTCTTCCTCCAACGCTGTTCTCCTTTCCAGCTGAGAGCTTTCCATGTCCCCACTGTGCATCCCCCCAGGAAGCCAGAGATGCAGTTTGTGGGGGAACACCTGCATATGCCAGGCAGTGACAGCAAACCCTTCCTGCAGAATGGGCATGGTGGTGACATTGGTTGCAGAGGCTCCAGGGGCACATGTGTATTGGGGTCACAGTTACAGGGTGGATGCTGGGGCTGTCCTTGCAGCCATCAGATGTGGCTGGAAGGGGGATGGAGCTCAGCATTTGAGCCCAGGGTTCAAACACAATCCAAACACAACCAAGGAACCCCAGAGAATAAAAGGTTTGCCCACGTGCCCCCCCCCCCCCCCAACCAGCCTGTGTGCCTGACTGAGATCTGTCTCCCCCAGGTATCTCTCAGCCACGAGTGCACTCGAGCCATCATGAAGCTGATGTACTGCCCGCACTGCAGGGGCATGTCCAGCGTGAAGCCATGCAACAACTACTGCCTGAACGTCATGAAGGGCTGCCTGGCCAACCAAGCAGACCTGAACACCGAGTGGAAGTACCTGATGGGTAAGATGGCCTTCTTCTGCTGCAGCACAGCTGCCTCTCATAGCACCTTTTGAACTCTCTGAGGCAGTATTTGGTGGGTAGAGAAGGGACTGTTGGAGGCTCCTTCACGCTATGGTTTCTCTGTGATCTGATGCCTAGAAGGTATTGCATGACATTTTGTTGGGCTTTAAGAGTTAGAAAGAACACTGCTGGTATGGATAACAAGGGTTTGAGGAGTTTTCATCTTGCCTGTGCTTATTTGGGATTGTTCGCACTCTGTGTTCAAGTAATTCTTCCTTTCCTCCCAAGTGTTGAAGCTTAGGGACAGATCCGGCCACCTGTACACTGTCAGAGTTGCCTCCTCATCCATAACAGAGCATTTTCTGCCTCCTTGGGAGGCAGTCTAGAGATGTGAAGCCATAAACTGCTTCCATGGGTAGAGAGCAAGGGGATGAGAATCACATACTTTTAAATAGGAAGAGGTGTCTTTAAACACATGGGGAGGAGGAAGATACAGGCGTCACCATGAATGGGAAAATTAGACTTGTATTTTAAATAACACTTCATTTAGGTTTTGTTGTATCATTCAGCTAAGATTATATACATTTTAAGGGGGTTTTATGTGTATAGAGGTGGCATTTTCTTTGAGTTTAAAGCAAAAAAATCATTGATCTCCTGTGCAGCACTGGCTGGAGAACTTCAACCAGGCCTTTCTGCATTGCTTGATCAGACCCAGGCATCTCTTTTAGGAAGACCTTGGGTGATTTTCAAGAACCTGTGGCTCCTAGTTAAAATGTGAACTATGGCTGAGAATAGCTTGTGGAACTGAGAGACCTTATTCAAGGCTGGTGAGGGTCTGTGTTTAGAAGACAGTGTGTTTGTATTACAGCACACATCAGGGGAGGTTGTTTGCAATGGTACACACTCACTCTCCCTTGTGCCCACAGAGCATCATGCAGCAAGCTCCTCTTTTTCTCCCAGGCTGTGGGAGCCTGGGTTGATGGAAAGCAGGCATCAGAGATGAGCTTTGGTGCCTTGTCTTGGCACTGGCTGCCTGGCCAACAGGGCTGCCAGCTCACTGGCCAGCTGCAGCCCAACAGGCTGGCTCAGGCTTGGTGTGTGGCAGTGCTAGCAATAAAAACCCTGCTGAGGTTCAAGGAGTGTCATCTGCCTCTCAAGGGACACTGCAAAGTAAATATGGAACCCAGAGGCCAGTGTACTTGCTCAGGGAGGTGCATTGATGGCAGCTGCCCACCGCACTCTAATGAGGCTGGGGGCTAACGAACCGAGTGACATCTTACTGCAGCTAATTGGGAGTGCTACCCATGCTGCAAAAGAGGGGGAGGAATATTCCCTTCCCCAAGGGCTTACACCAGGACTTTGATGGGGCTTCGGCCTTTCTGACCAGAGCAAGCCAACTGTTACCTGTCACTGCTCCCTGGCAGGATGACTGCCTGTCTCCTGGAAGGTCAACGTACAGCTCTCCCTGACTGGCAAGGAGGCAATTCCAGGTGCATTTTGCACTTGCTCTGGCTTCCTCTTCCTCAAGGGACCCTGTCAAGAGGCGACAGCAAGGAGGAAATTGGATCTTCTTTCAAATTGCAGATGTACATTTGAGTGTCAAAGGTCACAATTTGATCAAGGACTGGAGTCAGAGGTAGCAGTTCACTGGCATTGTCCATTCTTCACCCTCTCTCTTCACAGCTCTTCTGTGTAGCTGGAGTTACACAGTGCTACTCTTTCAATTTGACAAATTAGGGCAGGTCAAATTAAGAGAGATTTTTATAGTAAATGGTCATACAAACATAATGTATCACTAATTTGGGGGTGCGGCCTTTGATTTAAATGTCTGTATCAAAATTAATGCCTCTGCGAGCTCAGATTATCAGGAAAATACAGTCTCAGAGATGACACTGCAACTCCTCAGTGGCAGCGAAGTTAAACTGAAAGCTCTTTCATGCTGCAGGAGATGTAATTTCTGTGCTACCCCTTTGTATGACATGTTTAGCTTTAGAAATCAGTGTTGCCATAGGACTGTGTTGCAGGAAAAGAGAGCACATTAACTTGGAAACTGTGTCCCTTGTTTCTGTTCTTGCTCAAGCTAAACAGCTCCTCTTGTTTTTTAAGTGTGGAAAGTAAATACATAATGTTTGCAAGCTGTGACTTTGCATGTTGTTAAATCCTATATTATAGACCTGAGCAAAGAGCGTTCAGTGATCAGTGCTCCAGACTGGCAGAGGCTTGAGCCCTCCCAGTTGTTTGACTATTGCTCTTGCTCCTCACAGACCGGACCTGCTTTCAGACTGTGAGACCTGTGGGCCTGATCTGGTATCTGCTGTGGGTTTGTCCCTTATCTAGTCTTTACCTGGTTTAATCATTCTCTGGGAGATGTCAGGGGTCTGATCGTCAGTCACATAACAACAGAGAACAGACTTGCAAGGGTTGAGCATGCTGTTAAATTGACAACAATGGGCTCAGGATCAGACCTTCATTAACACACTACATCCACTGTGGACCTAGCGTTGCTGCACAAACCTCATCTACAGCTCAGGTAAGTCATTTGGGGTCTTTCTACTGAGTCATGCTGGCTTACCCAGGCAAGGGACTGAGCACTTTCCTAACAGGTTTGAAATGGTGTGGTCCATGGTTGTGCTGCAGCAGGCTGGACTCCTACTCAAAGGAAATCTGCTATGTGGCTCAAAGATAAGCATCAGTCTTTTAAAGCGATATCACATGTGACACACACGCACTGTGGGATGGTGTAGGTTGAAGGACATGTTTTACTGATACTCTGTTGAACTGCTGGGGTAATTCACCCTGTGGTTTCATTGCTCATGAATGTCAGCAGTACCAACTCATGCTGAATAAGCTTTTTCTGCAACATCACACCGTCTGCTCTGACAGGCTTCTGCCGGGCTGATGGGTGAGGTATTGGGATTTAGGACAGAATAAGTCACTCCTAATGAATAACTCAATTTACAAATGGAACAAATCTCCAACCTAGACCGTGGGATTTGACCCTCTTTGTGTAGAGAAGAGCCAGCATGAAGCCATCACACTTGTTTTCTTCCATGTGGCAAGGCCACAGAAACATGAAACATTTTCTTTTCCAGGAAAGCATGGGCCACCCCAGCTCTCTGACACATCCCTTTTCCTGCCAGGAGGTTTCTGATGTGCCCTGGGGGGATGCAGACCACACTGAGGTCACACATAACTGAATGCCAAGTCCCTAAAAGCCAGTAAAGCATATGCATGGCCTGTCCTCCTGGCTACTAAAGCACAAGCGTTAGGAAGCTGAGGCAGCAGCAGCACAGCAGTGACTTTCAGAATTACAGTTTTTGACTGGCAAAGTCAGACCTGGATAAGATGGCATTTTAGATGTCCAAATCCAGTTTGGGCTTTGTGATCCTGTTTAAATCTCACTGGACACTGAGGTTGCCAGTTTTCCTCTGCATTCCCTGGTGCCCCGAGCCCTGCAGGTATATAGGCTGTCCTGCTTCAGACCCAACTGGAGTGCTGAGGTTGGGAATTCTTTGTAAGCCAAGCATGGTCCCAAAGCAGCCATCTAGGCAATCACCTAGTATTCCAGGACAGCAAATCAGAGCTTTCCAAGGCAAGAGGAGCTGGAAGCAAGAGGCACCCTTCAGTCACTCCCTGTCCTTTTTTCCAGTTTAGTTGTGGGCATTTTGGCCTACTTTTCCGTATTCATAGCCTGGTATTTCTCTGACTGGTCATGTGTTGTCCTTCCATAGGTAATGGTGAGAATTGCTCCTTTTCTCATTCCTTCACTGCCACAGAAGTCATTGCCTTTGTACCTTTGGCACTTTATTGACCCCAGTTTCCCCACTTTCTACTGGCTGTAGTGCTTTGCTGAAGACATGTAATGAGTTAGGAGGGTTAGGGCCAAGTATTGCTATGCATTTCTTAATATTTCTGCACCAGTTTTCCTTTCTGTAGCACCCCAGAAAATGTTAGTCACTTTGAGTGAATACAGGTTCCATTTACCATTTGCAGCAGGGGACCTGTGTTTCCCTGCCACTGAGAGTGGCTTTACTTACATGCTGAGAAAAGGCACTTGGGTAGCAGTGAAAATGGAGAAATGTCTCCCAACAAGCCTGCCAAGGGGCCAACAGCTCATCCCAGCAGCATGAGCATGATCTTGAATTTGGTTTGTGCAGAGTCTGATGAGAGATGTCTGTCTTTTTTCACTAGATTCCCTGGTCGTAGTGGCTGATCGGATTGACGGACCATACAACGTGGACACTGTAATAGGGACCATTCACATGAGGATCTCTGAAGCTATTTCTAACTTGCAAGAAAACAAAGATTCGATCACAGCCAAGGTAAGAGCATGTGCCTGGGTCTGGGTGAGGATGCACCGTGTGTAACTGCCAGGAGCACACTTCTTTTGTGCTCACTATTCAGCTGAACTAAAGAAGGATGAAAGAGGTCAAATGCCCATTCTTTTAATGATAGGAAACCACCTGTCTTACACGGGCACAAACCTCCTCAAGTATTTACAAATATTATTCCTTCCTACAACCAGTCAACCACCTTTAGATACAGACACACAAGGTGGGACTGCATGTGCAGTGGCTGTGGGAGGTATGGTGCCATTTGCTGTAAGGTGCCTCTGTGTTTGAAGAGTCCTGGAGTATTTTGGCTGAGCTGAAGCATTTACAGACAGTGTGCAGTCCCCAGAGACAGAAGGCATCTGCCTTAACCTGCCTCGAGGTGATGTTCTGCGGTGGAAACGCTGGGCTATCAGGTTGTATCTGTGGGACAGAGCTACAATCTGGCAGTCCATCTGGAGAGTATAAAACAGGCTCTCCTGATACCCAACTGTCTTCCAAGAAGCAGATCATCTCTGTAGCGGCAGGTAAGAGGAGCTTTGGGAACAAAACCACCCTGCAAAAAGCAGGGCTTCTGGTTCTTGCCCAGACATTCCCCAAGTCCTGCAGCTATCCCACAGCTGGGGCGGAGGTGCAGATGAAAGCAGCGGGGCAGGTTCTAACTGCATCTTGGAGAAGGGAAGGGCCAGAAGTATTGCTTAGACAAGCAGGAATTCACTGGCACATGTCAACATGCCATCAGCAGCATGCATCCAAGTACTCATTAAGGTCTCTCTTCTGACATGAAAGGCCATGTTCTTTCTTCCATTGTTAGGTGAGGCTGAGGTTGTCCACATAAAAGCAAGCCCATGATGTGGGAAAAGATGTCATCATCTACAAAGGAAGGTGTTACCAAGGGTCATATAGTAAATCTGATATAATGAAAAAGAGTAAATAGTCTAATTGGTGTTCAACTGGAGCAACCATATATGTTTGATAAGCTTCGCAGTGTGATCTGGTGACCAAATTGGCTTGGTGCTGAACTGCCATAAGTGTTGAGTCCATCTGATCAGCAGAGAGCACCCCAGGAGAGAGTTTTCTGAGCTGAATATCCCTCAGACACGCTGGTGAGACCGGCTGAAGGTCTAGATTAGGACTTTGCTGATGGCTGTCAGAAGCTACTAGCTGAAATAGCATTCAGCAGCTGGCACAAGCTGCATCTCTCTGAGGTCTTGATCTCTCTGCTGTAAGGGAACACCATGCAAATTCAAATTTATCAATAGCTTCTGACAGCACTCTGGTAACCACAAGAAGCTTGGAGCCATCTTTTCAAATCAGATGGCTTTCTTTGTGAAGGCTGGTGTTTCCCAAATCAAACTGACAGTGCAAAGGCTCTCCTGCCCTTTGACACTTGATTCAGTCTGATTGTCTGAGGACTCCGTCCACCAGCCCCAGTGAGGCGCAGTTGCCTAAGCACTGGCTACTTGGTAGCAGGAGATGTGTTGTCTGGGCTGGTCATGCAGAGATTGGGAGAAACAGGCACCCTTCGTCCCTTCCTAGAGGCAAAGTACCTTCAAAGTGCTTCTGCTCTCCTTTGGCTACAAAACACGCCTGAGCAGGTAGTTAGAATGGCAGGAGGTACCCAAATTTAGGAGGCTTCCTCATTTGTCCTTGAAACATCTAACCTGACAGATTGGGACATTTCTACTGTCTTGCACTCCCCTGTTGGAGGGAGCACTCGTTTGCCGAGTGTGGGTGCCGATTGCCACCTTGGTTGTCCAAATCAGTGAACCTCATGTGCTCTGCAGTGTTGAAGCCCACACCACTGGTGTAATGAGTGTGAGTAGCTCTCATCTTGTTCTTCCCAGAATTTTATTTTTCCATCCTAATAGGAGCAGGTAAAATAACAAGTGAGAAATTAGCATCAACATTTCTGCTTCATCCAAAAACCTGTGCTAATTTTGTGTTAATACTGAATGTTTTGCTTGATAGCAGTAACCAAAACCAGTCACAGTGTGCTGAAAACATACCCTTGCACAAGAGTGAAATGACCAGAAACTAAGCCAGAATCTCAGAGATCTTGCAGCTAGGAAAGACAAACATACTTAAGAGGAAAAAAAAACATAACTGTGGCACGCTAATTAACTAAGGAAATAGTATCAAAGCATGGAGTAGAGAGCTTGGGTGTTTTTTTTCAGGTTTTCCAAGGCTGTGGAAATCCCAAAATCAGCACAAAAGGCTCCAGCAGTGAGGACAAGAGAAGGTGGGGGAAAGTCGCATTGGAAGCAAAGTCCTCTGCACAAGCACTGGAGATGCTGGTGAGTTTGCCTCAGAAGCAGGTGTGCTGGTGCACTGGGGGCATGGGAAGCCCGGCTGGAGCAGCACAGGGTCCTGTGGGTCAGGTCAGACCACCCCTCAGGCTGGTGAGTCTGAAGGAGATCTTTGCTGGTGAGTCTGAAGGAGATCAGATCAGTGCATACTGGCATGACTGAAGCAGGTCTGATCTTGCCACTCGGCACAGGGTCGAGGTTTAGGTTGCTGGTAACCAGTTTCTCAGCGATTTGGTGCCAAACTTACCCGAAAAGACACCTTGCTATTGGTGTTACTGAGCCAGGTTATATATACTGGGGTCGGAGGTCCTCCTCTCTAGAGATTTGGATTCTGTGGACAGTGAACTATGGGATCTGCCATGGTTCCACATTTCAAACACTCCTCACTCACAGATACCTGCCTATCCCACCCTGGCAGAGCCCTGCTGGCTCCCACCAAGACTGCTTCTCAGCAGTGCCCTCATGGACCCACAAGATGATCTTCTGGCTAATCTTATGGTACCAGAACAGTCCTTAGCATGTAACCTTCAGCCTTGGGTGCTTGGGTTAAGGGGAGGGTTGGCAACACATCCTTGTTTGCATAGAAACAGACTTTGTAATAGTACAACAATGAAAACCAATAAATAGTCAGAATGCTATTCTGAGGCAGCCCGGAGCTCTCCTGACCCTGAGCATCCTCTTTGCTTACAGGTTTTAGATGCCAAAGGGAATCTGACAGCTCTCAAGACTTACTGGATCACCCTGCCTGGCAGCCTGTGCAGCAAAAAAATAATGGCCAGCTCAGTGGCAGATGACAAGTGTTGGAATGGGATGACCAAGGGCAGGTATGGAGAGGATCAAGGTGCCAGGATAATAATGTCCTGGGGTAAGAGAAGGAGGGTTTGATGAAAGGCACTTGCACCCCATCTCAGCCAGCCCCACTTGTTCAGACTGAGCTGAAAGGTCTGTCCCTGTCTACAGAAATGCTGAACTTCCTGAAAAGCTGGTATCTGGGAATGTCAAGCCTGTTGTCATTTTGCTGTGTGTTGGGGGGTTAAGCACTGGAATGCATTGGCCATGAAATAACTTGTGTAGTTTTGTACCAGTGAAGCAGTTCTGCAATTCCATGTGCACTCAGAAGGCAGAAGGGCTGTATTTGCCTTACAAACTCCAGAACTGTTGCTGAGAATTGCGTATGTGCCTTTCTATTCATACCTGCTCTGAAATGCGGCTTCCTCATGAGAGGAGGCACCCAGGGTGACATCTAACAGCTGCAGAAACACCTTCCCCTGTAGCTGATGGTTAAAGGATGGTGGTGAGGGGAGATATGGTGGACATGTGTGTTTCTCTGCTCCATTCTGTGGACCTGCTGGGCTGGTCTCTGCCAGCCCAAAGCCGGCACCTTTGGTTCTTCCATATTTCATGTCCTTTCCCTGCCAGCAGTGCTGCACATCCCCAGGAGCAGATGAGCTGGGGCACTGTGGAAGGGGGAAGCACAGCTCTGTTTGCTGATTGATTCCCAGTTAGCAGAAGCTTCCCTGAGGGCCTGTTTGGTCTTACCAGGCTGGGGGCACTCAGTCATCCCAAGGCATCAGTCGCAACAGGCTTTAACTGGGGCTGAAGATGCTCCTCATTCTCCCATATAGACAGCTTTTCCAGAAAAGAGTGTCCCCATGGCTTCACAGGTACCAGCCTGAGAGCAACCCCTCAGCCCTGCGCACACCCTCTCCCATAGGAAACCCCTCTCCATGCTGGGACACTGATGCTGCAAGGCCACCAGCCAGCTTCTGAGAGCTGAGGTGTTCTCAGAGCCAGCTGCAGGCTCTGATGGGGTCTGGCCATGTCAGCTTGACTTGGCCATCCGTAGAGTAGGCAGCAAACACTAGCATATGAAGGCTGTTCAACAAGCCAATGCCACTGACTGCAGCTTCTCTGGTGGTCACTGACATAATCACTGGTGTCTGTAATGGGGAGAGGTGAGCTTAGCTGGGAAGAAGCATTTCAACTTGTCTCCTTCTGTCACAGTTACCTGCCTGAAGTGATGGGGGACGGCTTAGCTAATCAGATTAACAACCCAGAGGTAGAGGTGGACATCACCAAGCCAGATATGACCATTCGCCAGCAAATCATGCAGCTAAAGATCATGACAAACCGGCTGGGCAATGCTAACATTGGGAATGACGTGGATTTCCAAGACGCAAGTGAGTTCAGCAGAACCAGAGAGGTCCATGGCAGGCTGAGGGGCTGAGCAGTCAGTCTTCGGGGGTTGTGGCAGCCTGGCTCAAGGCTGCAGAGGCTCTATTTGAGTGCAGACAGCTTGCTGTGGGGTGGCTGGAGGCTGTGCTGCTGAAATCTGGGGTGCCTTCTTCAGTCACAGCCCAGCCTTTCTTGATGGGGCCACTGATCCTATCTGCTCTGAAGGTTGCTGGTGGTTAAAGTCAACTGGAGGTCAGGTATGGGCTTGCTTCTCATGGTGGGGATGCAGGAGGAAGGAGGTGGCAAGGGCAGGGCTGGTGGCTAGCTCTCCCTGGGGTTGCAGCAAGGGGTGGGAAGGGACATTGCCCACCACAAGGACAGCAGTTGGGGCTCACACCGTGCCTTCCTCATGTTCACCCATGTTTGTCTCTGCACAGGTGATGACATGAGCGGCTCTGGGAGTGGTGACAGTTGTCCCGACGATGTCTGTGGCAAAAGACTCTCTAAGAGCCCCAGCACCAGGCAGCCAGAAACGCACGCTATTCCTAAGCAGTCCGGACATGGCATCAATGGGGCCAGCAGCAGATCTTTGCCTTCTGCCTTCCTTCTCCTCCTTTCGGTGGCTTTCCTTGCCGTGCAGCACTTGTGGCGGTAACTCACTAGCACAGCCAGGAAAGAGACTGTGGCCGAGGGCTTCACTTCGCCAAAACCAACCAACCAACAACCAAAGGACGTATTTAATTCACCTTGGCAAAAAAAAAGAAAAACAGAAAAAAAGAAAAAAGAGTAAGAGGGAGGAGAAAAAGGTTTCAGTTTTGTGCTATTTCTGGCAGTGCTCGAGCTGTTTTCTTCTTTCTTGGTCTTCTCCCCAGTGCTGGGCCCTTCTTTCCGTACCTCATTGTTTTACTTTTGTTACTGCCACAACCTGGCTCTCAGGGCCGAAACAAGCCTTTGCAGAGAGGCCTCCGGGGCAGCTCTTGTGCTGCTCTGCCTCCAGTGGAATATGCAATTCATGCAGTTGCCCTGATCTCATCACCCAGCCACTGCCGGAGCGCCGCTTGCCATAGAGCTGCCCAAGCCACGACAGTGCCGGGAGCAGCACCACTTGGGAACGCCGAGAGACTGAGCTTGTCAGCGCTGCTCAAGGGCTGCATTCATGGGCTCTTGTGGGGTTTTCCCTCTGTGCTTCCTAGGCAGACAGAGATGGCCCTTTGCTTTCAGCAGCGTACACAGGAGTGTAAGCAGGTTTGGTGGGTTGAGCTGAAACAGTTTGGCAGTGGACCCAATAATGCAGAACTCCCTTTTTTTACTTTGGAAAGGGGTTTCTTGACTAGAGCTCGTAGCAGACAACAATTTGAAATATAGGTCTCCTACATCTAAGTGACTGGGAATGAGTGTTAGGGGTTGGGGTTTGGTGTATTTTTTCTTTGCATGCTAGTTGGAAAGCCATTTTTTTACCCAAGTAATAATGGTCCAATTTCTACCTGCAGTGCGGTACCGTTGTAGGTAACAGAGAGATGACAATATGAGCAGTGGGATTCTCCACTTGACAGACAGTTGTGCTGCCACCTCATTCATAGGTGGCAATCCCTTTTATTTGCTGGTAATAATTAAAAACAGGGACTTATTACTAACCAGGGCATTGCAACTGGTTGTGAGAGCTGAATGACGCACCACACCCTAGCCCAGGTCTCACTGCTACCAGCCCCAATCTACAGACTGGGGCTGGTAGCAGTGAGCCCTGGGCAGTGTCCCTGTGCAGGTTGAGATAGCACCTACTTGGGGGAGGGAATGTGAGGATGGGACACGTTTTGTTTGTGTTATTCTTTTTCTTTTGGTGTCTGTTGCATTGTAGGTTTTTGAGTGAATTCCTGTTTTCCCCATCCTCCAACACATCTTCCCTAGCCACTGCAGGGATGAGGTGGGACAGCGGGTCACACACCCTCTGGCAGCTCCATTTTGGCTCAGGAAAGGGCCAGGCTCACCCTCTGCCACCCCATCCCACCACACACCAGCCTTTGGGACATGCAGGTGGCTGCCCTAACCCTGAAATGCTTGGTGGAGTGGGCTCCATGACGGGTTTTTAGGCTGGGCCTGGTCAGTGAACAATATAAATATCCCCACGTAGCTGTAGGAGTGTCAGTGCTTGTAGGGCTGTGTGCTTTGGGGCTTCCAGAAGGCTTCTGTACCTGACGAGTACAGCAAGCACTGGCTGGAGGTGTAGGTTTAGCTGATGTTATAGATACAACGCAGTCACTGTGACTGGTTTGGCCAAGAGCACGCCATGGGGTTGGGCTTCATTCATAAGGGGTTGGGTCTGAGTTTCAAATGTGCTTGTACCGTGGGTGAGAGGGAGGCAGAGGCCTGTCCATCTAATACTTTACTGGTCTGCACAGCAAAGGTTTGAGCATTTCTCCTGTTCTGCCAGAAGAGATGTGTCTTTGGGCTGAACAAATATTATGGGGTTGGGGTTTGGCTGTTTTTTAAGAAGGGGGGGTGAGGGAGGGGGAGAACAAAACCCCATTTTTAACATTAGCAGTTTCTAGAATGTGCAATTTAAGGGAAGATGAGAACATGAGCAAAACTGACACCAAAAAACAGTGCAGGTGGGAGGTGTAATCCCTGTGTTGATGGTCTGAGCTGGTGTTGATGGTACTCTAACAAAGCAGAGATTTTAGGGCAGCTTTGACTGGCTTCCCCAGGTCACAGTGACCAATGCTGCTGACTTGGTGTCCTTTCTGCCTTGTGCTCACCTCTGTGTAAGACTGAGCCTGATCTAATCTGGTAGAGTTTCAGAAATGAAAGCCAGAATAACGGATGTTGGCTAGAGGCCAGACAACACCACTAGACCCATCAGAACCCAGGAGTGGATAGATGCAAGTCATGGATTTATGCAGATTTATTTACTTCTAGAAACATGACGCATTCCACATTAATTTTACTGCTCTAAAGAATTCCTGATTTTGTATTTCCTTTTGTTTTTTTTTAACCAGAATTGCCAATATAAATTTAGCCTCCAGTTACAGAAATCCCCACAACCAGTCCTGCAGAGCCAACAATTTAATAGGCCAGATTATCGGTCCTGTTACAGTGATAAAACCTGATAGTCCAAATTGATCAATGAGGCAAAGCCTCAAAAATGCCATAAAAACTGTTATGCAGGAAGACACCCTGATGCCCAGGGTCCAGCTTCAGTGTCCCTCCAGGTCCTGAGGGCAACTGCTTTAGTCTCCTGGAGCTGAGTTGGGGTTGGAGCAGCATCAGCAGCCTGATCTCTGTGCAGGCATTGCCTGAGCTCTTCCCCATCTTTGACAGCAGGCACATGGTGTTAATGCTTCCCCTCTCCTCGGCCCTGGGTCCATTTGGGTTTATTCAGAACTTTTCCACATGCTCTGCCTGTGCCGGTGCCCTGGGTAGGTTCCTGGTTATCCAGTTTTACCGTTCTCTTTGTTGCCCTGGAGTGGTTTCCCTGACCTGCTGTGATACGGTGGCCCCAGGGCTGTGCTTGGCCACGGCACTAAAATAGCTGAGTCCCTCCACGTATTGACTTGGTATTGCTCTGAACTGAAGCAAACCTAAAGCAAACCATAGTTACCTGACGTCTAGGCAACCGCTAGCACGGCTCAACAAGCTGAAGTCAAGCCCCGAGCCTTTGCTCAGACTGGGGCCTTTCAGTGCTTCTATCTGACATTTCCAGGGCCACTGCCTGCTGGAAAACGTAGTGACAAAGCTTCCCAGCCCTGTGGCAGTGCTGACTGACGGCTGCAGCCACGGCAGGGGCTGGTGGGTGCCATGGGTTGGTTACGTGACTGAGGAGCTCTGGGGAACAGGGGTGAATGGGAGGGAACGTTTGCTTTGGTGTTATCAAGGTGGTGATTCGTGGTGTCCTAGTTAGAAAAGGCCTCATACTTCACAGGGATGAGGAGGGGGTGGTGGTCTAGGGACGATATGAACGAGGACCCCTGTCCCTGGAAAGGGGAGAACCAGGAAAAGTGGGTTTCCAAGTGTCTCTGTCTTTCAGCCTGCTCTTTTGTGCCATAACGTGTATGTTTTAACTAAGGGCGAGGGTCTCAAAAGGCTTTGAGAGCACAGCTACTTATCATTTACAGATGACAAGCTGCCTGTTGTTTTCTGGTGGGCTTGGTAGAGGCTAAGGTATAGCAAAATATCTAAAGTCCATCTTTGCTTTAAGCAGATGCATTTCTATCTGCAGGAGTAAGAATTATTTCACTTATTGGCATAGCTGGACAGTTATCTATTTCTTTCTGTTACCAAGGTACTTGTAACTCTTGCACTGTTTATCTAAAGTTGGAATATGTTCTTTGAATCCTAGTATAAATAAAAAGGCTGGAGACTTACATCTGTATTTACAGGGCAGTTTTACTTCTTCTGCATGTAAGCTGAATTTGGCGTTTTCTTTCCCCTTTAAGAAGGCCAGGAGTCCCAAGGAATGAAATTGTGCTTTCAGCCACAAGGTTTGTAATGGGCTGATGTCAGCCCTGAACACAGGAGGGAATCTAGGGTCATATGGATGTTACGTGTGCAGAGACAAGGTGAACCTGACTTGAGTCACCGAAGTGCTATGCTAAATGTTCTCTTCCTCACAGAGAGGTGCAAAAAGTCATGGCATGTATTATGAGGAATCAGAAACACCCTTGGTAGTCATCATTGCAAAGTGTTGTGCTAATTGTTTACCATGGCCTTGTACTTGTGCAGGTGTTGGCAGGGTCTTAACCTGCAAGCAAAGCAGACGGCTGGGTCGGGGATGTTTGATCTTGAGCTGTGCTTGAGACTGCAAGTCCTCAAGTCAGCTGCAGGAAGGTAACTACTAAACATCCATAGCCTCACTGTGCCTCCTGGGCTGGCAGAGCTTTTCTCCAGGCTGGTGCTGTGCCAAGGAAGCGGTGGGGCAGAGGACCAAGCCCATGGGCAGTGGTACCACACTGCAGGAGTGGACACCCTGGTCCTTTAAGGAGGCATCTCAGGGCTGGCATCTTTCTGGCAGGCTGTTGGCACAAGTGATGGCAGGTAAGCAGCACATCACTTTCCCTGCCCTCTGTGTCGGAATAGAAGCTCATCCTCGTCCCTCCCAGCTGATTCCTTACTGGCTGGCACTGTGTTTCACACCAACCCTGTTAGTGCATGCCCTGGTGCCGTGATAGCCCAGGTTCGTCTTCGTGCCAGGCGCAAGTATCGGTCACAAGCTCCTTTTTTGCGTCATGGCCAGACAGAAAACTGTTCAAGAGGCACAACCACGTGCTAAATCCACCAGGAAGTGGCTGGTACCAGCACCAGTCCTGCAGCAGCTGCCTGGTACTGATTGATGTGGCCCTGCCCTGGCTGGGCCCTTGCCCCCTCCCCACCCACCCTGCACAGCTCCAGCACGTGTCAGCACCCTCGTGCCCTGGCACCGCACCAGCAGTTTAGCTGAAGTCCAGCAAGATTAGCACTACCGTATCTAGCCAGCCTGGTAAATCATTTTCTGTGCACTCAAATACGCTTTTGTTGTAGGTGAGGGGCCGCTACATGATCTGGAGCTGAGCTAGAGGTGATCTGAGCCATACTGCATCATTGCACCAATCTTGACCCCAGCAGCAGCCTTCATGTGAGGAAGAGGCCAGGTTGGATGGGGCTTTGAGTAACACGGGCTAGAGGGGTAACACCTGTCCATGCCTGTGGCAGGGGGTTGGAATTAGATGAGCTTCAAGGTCTCTTCCAACCCAAACCATTCTGTGATTCTATGAAGACAGGATCTTAGCTTCTTGCAAGAAGCTGCTATAGGGCTAGGGACTGTTCAATTGTCTCAGAGTGTTTTTAGCTTTTTTAATGCAGCTCACAGTATCCAGCAGGCACTAGGACCTGCCTGAAGCCTTTATTTCCAAGCCTGTGCAGTGGAGATAAATATAGCAGAGCCCAGCATTCCTCAGGGCCGCGCAGCCATACACATTGCCGGGGGGAAGGGGAAGGGCATTCTGATCCCTGCCGGTGCAGGACTCAAAACGCCGTGCATCCGCGGCCGTTGGGGAGCTGGTGCCTCTGCGGCCTCAGGTGCCGATGCTGCAGCTCAGCCAGGTCACCACGTCGCTGCTCATCAGCAACGCGCGGGCAGCCTGCAACGAGGACCTGCTCACACGAGAGGGAGTCACCTTCTGCGTTAATGTCACCCGGCAGCAGCCCTTCCCCGGCCTCCCGCAGGTCCGGGGCATGCGTGTGCCGGTGTTCGATGACCCGGCTGAAGACCTGTACCAGTACTTTGAGCAGTGCACTGACGCTATAGAAGAGGCTGTGAGGAGTGGTGGGAAGTGCCTGGTCTACTGCAAGAACGGCCGCAGCCGGTCCGCTGCTATCTGCACTGCTTATCTGATGAGACACGGAAAGCTCCCACTCAAGGATGCATTCGAGGTATTGTACCGATAACCAGGTTTATACTTAGCCATCTTTCGGGTAAGAACTGCAGTGCTTACTGTAAGTAATGATAGTGTCTCATAGAATTATTTTGGTTCTGTCACCTGTTTATTGACAGTTAACACAGATATTCATCATTTGAATAAAACTTACACTCTTAAGTTTTTTCACCCCTAGTTGGGACAAATACACTTTCAAGGTGAGGCTTCTGGGACAAATATAATTACAAATGCAGACACACTTTAAGCAAATATGGACAGTTGGTAGTTCTGTGAACCTTTTTTCCCCATCATTTCCTTAGTCATGATAAGCAAAGTTAAAGACAGAGATGTGAAGAAAATGAGGGAAATGGATGCAAGTGTGCAGTTGTTCCGCAGGATTTGCTCTTACGTTGACAGCTAACACAGCAAAGAAACATCATCTGCTAGGCCTCAGAAATAGGTAGGGACAAGGTAGTGATAGTGATAGCATCTCAACTTCAGTAGGAAGCCTGTCCAATACATGTGACCTGTAATCTACCTTTTAGTCCACACCCATTTGGTAGGTACATCAGTAGAGTCTCTCATGCAGATAACTGTTTTGTTCACTGCTAGACAGAGGCGTGCAGATACATGACCAAGTTTTACACTATATTGAGCATCCTGACACATGAGTAGTGTCACCACACTGTGAAAGACATTCACAGGGACCCCATGCCAGGAGATCTAAGTCAGCTCTCCAAAATATCCGTTTATTATTCTATAGCCAAATCAAGAGCCTTAGAGGAAAAAAATCCATTTACACGCTACCTGCCCTTGCTTCTTCAATGCCTCTCCTCTTTCCTAGACTGTGAAGACTGCCAGACCAGTAGCAGAACCCAATGCGGGATTTTGGTCTCAGCTGGAGAGATATGAAGAAGATTTGCAGATACCAAAGCAGTCTGACCACGTGAGCAAACGGCTTAAAAATAGCAGCATGTGAAATGTTTTAAAGAGAATTAAGTAGCTTGCAATAGATTTAAACAAACAGGAAGAAAACCGCTTCATATATCACCTGTACATAAAACACCTTCCTCCCCAAACTGAGCTGATGGTTCATTAAAATCATTCAGAGCATTACTGTTGAAGGTGCATGCAGAATAAGCAGGGCGAAACAGCAGAAACAGAAAATGGTTGGAAGGCCTGTAAACAAACCAGACGATGGCACGGTATCTTCAGCATTTATTTTCACCTGAATGACACTGAATGCAATAACATATTGAATGAATGAGTTAATTCTCACCGAATAGGGATTTTACTCTTGGTTTTTAAGTAAACTTCCCAGTGACTTCACAATATACACTGTCCATAGGACAATATGAGGATGATGGTGGGGAGTGCAGCTCCCACCATGCCAGTTAAATGGCTGTTCAGCTTTTGAAATTATTCTCCAGAATATGAAAGGAGTTATTTTAAAAACAACAGTTGATAGTGGGGGGAAGATGACACTGGCAATCTAAAAGTAATCCTAACATATTTATTAAGCTTAAAAGACTTGTCAGTGCCCAACTCATGCCTTGATGTGTCAGTGTACAAGTCAGCTGTATCTGCATGCAGTCAACATGGCTAAATCATTTCTGCTTAAGACTGCATGCAGATTTCCATGTGAAATTATCTGTTAGGGTATCAAGGAGACCACACAAAACTTCCAAATCAGACTACAATTGTGTTTAGGACAAGTCAGTAAGAGCAGAGAGAAACGCCAAGGTATTTTGATGAATTGTATTAATACATCTGTAATTTTAAAGGGTCAAGTTATGAAACCTGTGAACCTGCAGTGTCAAATTCCATTGCTCAAAGCATCAATACAAAGTAAAGTGAGCTCATTGTCACCTGCCTGAGTGTTGACACAAGGCAAACACACACTCCCAGCAGTGGAGTGGTTTAAAGCAGAAATTCTAATGGTGAAGAATAAAGGCGCAGGGGAATTACACTGAGCAGGCAATTCACATGCAGTAGAAATTCTCAGACTTAAGATTATTTTAAAAGCTGAAAACATAAAAATAAAAGTTGAAAAATGGGCCTATGATCTTCTTAGGTGCCGCAAAGCATTTTAGCACCAGGTGCTTTCTGCACTCCCAGCTGTGTCTGGTTCGTTCCGCATCATATCTGTATTATATCTGATATCTGCATCACAACCAACAAGAACTTTGTTGCACATCTGCAGACCTGGAGGTGAGTGGTTATTAGGGATTTTTTTGTACCTGTTTTAAATTTTGACCATCATATGGTCAGTATGAATTTCAGATGAGACTTCTAGCCCAGGTTTATAGATTATACCCTTATTAATGGATAGTGTACCACTCATAAAAAAAAAAAAAAAATCTGTTTCAGTCAGTCATCTGTGGAATAAAGTTTATTTCCTGTCAAAAGCTAAAGCTGCTGAACAGAAGTAGGAAGCTAAACATTAGTGCAAACCCGATCCATTTCTGTGAGGTGTATTAACTTGCAGTTAGCTACAGCGTATCAGTTCCGCATTTTTGAGTGGGCCAAAATAGAAACAGTTGCTCTCGATTGTCACGAAACACTGAACGCTGAGGTTAACCTTTATCAGGCTCCTAAGCATGCAGAAAACCTTCATGCCACAGCCTTTCACATCTCAGCATCTTCGGTAGAATCCTGTTTACAATTGAAAACCACCTGGAAAACCATTCGTATTTACACTGAAAACCATACCTCCTCCTTTGTACTGCTCCAAATTAAGATGAAAGATTGCAACTTGGAACCAGGAACCCTGGAAGTAGTTCACTTCTTTGAGGTCATAACCTACTAATGTTACAAGTGACGTAAAAGGTAAGCTTAGACGTACTCCTTGTTGCTTATGACTGTCTCAGAGTTTTTGGTGTACGCATCCTGGTGAGGAGCTGCGTGGCCTGCTGAGTATGGGTATTTGTTGAAACTGTGAATTAAGAAGAAAGAGATACAAAACAATAGCTATCACGCACACATCCACAGCTTCAAATACTTGGGAAGTTACTAATTTAGGTGTGTATCCAACCCACCAACAGCACATACTTCAGGAAGGGTAAGAAATTAGAGGCCTATTGTTCTCATCAGTCTTGCACCTAAGGGAAAACAGATGAGCTGCTTGACAGACAGCGCAGCCATCTCTCTTGTAACGAGAAACACACCCTGGATTCCTAACTCGCGTGTGCTCTTACTCAAGGCATTTTAGTCAAGTCCCTAAAGCAGAAAAGAACCTAGACCTTAATGTCTTTGTGCAAACTCAGTTTTTAATACAGGAATCAAGATGATGAGAAAGGAAAACAGAAGTCTCTTCAGCCAACCCCTTCATCTGTCATTTGTCATGTTGAACTTCTGTTATTCCACTCATCGGTTTTACTTCAGGATATTTGGTACTTTGTATGGTGAGAGAGATCTAAAGTCCAATGTGGCTGACGAAATATTACTGTAAAACTTAATTGGCTTCAGATTAGGCAATGGAGTATCAGAGGAGCACTCTCACTTATCATCTATTTTGACATAACTTTCCTAAGATTTTTCCTAAGTAGCAAGGAGCATGCTTCTCTTCCTTCCATGTTACCATCCTTCCAAGCTTAGCCAGTACAGCCTCCAAGCCATTTGGGTTCTTCTGAGTAGGCATGGACCTCTGCTGTTTCCGACAATTTCACTCCCTGTCCTTCAAAAAGTGACTTTCTGTGAATTATTATGTGTGAATAGTTAAAGACTGGAGAAAAAAATAAATCCAGGCAAGGTCTGGAGGCCAGAAATACTCAACTTGTCTATTTGATGTCTTGTTAGACATTTCCATAAGGAACAAGAAAAACATCATATGCATCTAATGATCAGTTGGATCTCCCTTGGGAAGGAAATGCCATTACACTTTCTGGAAGGTAAATGGGTTTTGAATGTTTTAATGCTAGTGAGTATTACACAGAAACTTGATCTAATACGCTATATTCTTTGATAGCATTTTCTTTTGGCAATAGATAGTTCTCTCTTTCACTGCACATCATCATGTAGATCTTGGAACCATTAGCAATACCCAGATTTACCAAATACTAGTTATAGGTGGCCAGTGATGGCAAAGCATCCACAAGTACACTGTCTGGAAGGTACAAGTATTTGGTACAGCATCCCCTTCCATCACCAGTCTGTGACATGCTGTAACACCACAATAGGTACAATTTCCTGTTTGTGCTTTCTATGGCTACAGAAAGCCAGAGTGAGAGAGAGAGAGTAGTATACAGTAGACAATGGTATATAATTGGCAACTGCTATTACAACTGCCAAATCCCAGATTACCTGTAATCCTGTTTTTTCTTCCCTTTGCATGAACAGGTCAGTAAGATCCCACCAAGCATACAAAGAACAGATCCAGCCCAGCCTAAGTACAGAGCATCTCCTAGTTCATACCTGAAACATGAGAGATTTTATGGAAACAACATGTAGTAGGATCACAAAGCCATTATTTTAGACTGAGCCATAAGGTATGCAAACAAGTTCTAGTCTCATAGAAAGCAGCTAACTGAAAGGTTACTGCAATAGATATCAGTGAACGGATCTGGCTTTGTGTCAGTGTTCCGTCAAACTCTTACGTGTATTAGAAGTGTTCTGCCAAGTTAGTGACAGGACGTACTAGGCAACACAAAGATAAGTAGCAATGAATACTTGCGCATATTTAATAAATTGTTGATAATAAATAATGATAATATACCTTCTGGGCAGTCCACAACACTTACTTTGCCCTTGTATTGGCTGTGCTGCTTAAGTAATTTTGTGAAAGTCGATGATTTAGACCTTACTGTCTGTGTCATAAGAAAAGGCTAACCATAGAAATCAGTTTTCTATTGACACGAAACTAGATCACCTACAAGTAGCTATTTGTATAGGGCTAGTATCCTGAAGAATATTTAGCACTCTCTGTGGTTATACGGCTGAAATATGTTTATGGAGAGTCCCAAGCTGAAAAGGAATAGTTCCCCATTTTACTGTACAAAACTACACCTTTGAGGAAACTCCCTGGTCCAGTCCAAGAAATTCACTGATGATGAATTTGACCCAAAGACTATGCACAATCGAGCCTGGCCAAATCTGGCAGGAGTTTCACATAAAGAGGAAAACAAGTTTCTATATTCAGACAAAGACTACATCCACAATATGGCTGTACCTGTGTGCTCTGAGACACCTGATACAAGGGCAAAATAAGTGTCATAGACTGTGTAGAAGGTATTCTGAAGCCAGATATGTGTTGAGTTTTTCCACTTGTAAAGAGAAGGTCATTATTTAGAAGCGTCCAAGTTTCTGACTCAGAATTAATTGCTAACAGGAAGGTTTACACGGGTTCCTTGTTCTCTGTGTTCTCATCCCATGTTGGAACCACAAGGTGTCCGCTGTTTTAGGCACTCTCCGAACATGGAGCAAGGAGATAATGATTATCTCAAAATGCAGGAGTGAAAGTTGCTGGAGGAATAATAAGGAACAGTCAGAGAGTGTTGACCAGTGCATGCCGCCTACAGAGAGGAATACTGTAGATGTCATTCATACCAAAGCAAAGTACATTGAAGGGATCTGGAGAACTTGGGTTGCCCTCACAGCTGTAATTGAAATTCCCTGAAGAGTCAGTAGAGGTAAACTTTACTGATTTGCTGAAGTCAGGACAAAAAGATGCAATCTGGAAAAACAGATTTGCTGGTCTCTTAAAGGTGAAGATCAATACTGACCTGCAACTGATTCTAAACCTGTCTCACAGAGTCCAAGGAGCACAAACTTCCTCAAGAGCATGCCTGGCTTTACCAGTTATCACAGTTAATTCACTAGGAACCTCTTAGTGAATTGATAGCATTAAACATGAAGTTTAGATACTAGAAAAGAAGAGATTTCTTTAGCTACTGAATGCAAACCACCTGGTAACTGATTAACATGCATCGATGTTGAAGCCCCAAAGCTGTAGCAGATAACTATAAAACTCACTAACTATCCCACTAACTGAAATTCCTTATCAACAGTTGTTTCAGTCCTCTAATGTATTTATTACCCTTCATATAATTCCCTCAAGGGGATATAAAACAACAAAAAGTATTCACAAGTGCAATTTCTTTGTAAGTGCTTGTTTGAAAACACAAGGAAAACTGACAAACATCCAAAGCAATTGCTTAAAGTACTTTGATTCATAACAAAGCGCTTCACCTCTGACTTCCCTGAACTGGTTCTCTATAGGAAGCTTACAAAACACTTCAAATATGATCCTAGCAACTAAAGATTGATAGTTTATTGATTGAAAAATTATATACTTGGTAGAGGTCCTGGCAAATGATAAATGTCCCCTTTTCCCAAAACCTGCTTTCTCATGTTCCATACACAATATATTGTTTCCCTCTCCCTTTTTCCCCACTCTTTGAAGGAGAGGCCAGGTCACCTCTACCCTTGTTCCTCATTGCTAAATACGGCCCCTAGATAAGGTGCCATAAGCAGGCATTTGGTTTTCAGGACAGCTTTTATATTGTATGTTTTCTAACAGCTTTTAAATCAGAGAAGAATCAGGGCTTTTATACCTTGAAACTTCTTTGTGTGCAACTGTACAAGCTAAAAGTCTCACAGATTTTGCCTCATTTTAATTCATGAGGCAAACAAATGTTGAGCTGTTAATATAGGGTGAATTTTTCATTTCTTCAAGGCAAGCAGCACATTACAGGGATGTTTCTCAGCTGTCTGCAGGTCACTGTTACGCAGTTCAAGCTGGTTTCTCTACGCCTTTTTAGTTGCTTGTACATCTGAGGCATTCTATTCTAGCTATAGCTAGAATTCTGTACCTCTTTTGGTCTAAATGCTGCAGAAAATGAAGAGTTTAACTTTTCTCCTCCATAGCACTGAGGTGTGAGCTTAATGGCACAGAAGCCCCTCAGATGTGGGGTTGATATTCCCCACACATTCATTAAACTTTCTAGAAGAGAACTCTCCTCCGTCCCCACCAACATCTCTGAGGTGAAAAGAGTCCCCAGAGACAAATCTTTCTTCCTGCATGACTGGGTAACGGGATCCATCCAGGTTCTGAAACTCTGGAGCAGTTGAGGTTAGTGCAGCCATCTGTAACACATCATGCAGTTTAGTATGAGAGATCTAAAGACTTACTTGGTTCCAGCATACAGTGGGTCAAAAAACTGAGCAGTAATCATCGCAGCATACCAGGAAACAGCCACCATGGAACAGAGACCTACCAAAGTTTAAAAAGCACACAGGTGAATGACTCCTTTAATGGCTCTGACGGCTTTAAACCAAGAAAGTTTCATTTAATTTGACTGGGAAAGCAATACAAAACATGAAATCATTCTCATTTCTGCCTCATTATTACCTCCTAAAATAAAGAGAAATCCTCCTGTGACAGCAAACTTTGTTTTTCCATCTTCATCGCTCAACCCAATCTTTGTGCACTTCAAACCAAGCAGCGAGAGTACTGCAGCTATGAATCCCAAAAGGATGGAGGCAATCATCAAGGCACGGCATGCCTGAATATAAGCTAAGGAAGAAAAAGAGGAAACAGATCAGGATCCATACAGAAATTAAATGAATCTTGTGCTGGAAAAAATAGAAGTTATTAGGGGACTGGCAAAATTAACAGGAGCAATAATGAGGGAATCTTATCTTTGTTATTTGGTTCAAAGAAGCATTCAAACTCTAGGAGTGTTTAGCCTTTAAGGTTTCAGAGTTGAACTACACTTAGACTTCATAAACTCAGTAAATCTTCTTGGGCCTTTAGTAAAGCTTCTTTATATCATTATAGCAAGCCCTTCATAGCTTACATCTTGTAGGTCTTGTGAAAATGTGTAGCAGTATATATGGTCATTTACAGGAGCAGAAGTTTCCTGCTCAGAAGTCCTGGTGACTTCCTTACACCTGTACTGCTGAGCACACAGGACACCGCTGAACTCCAGGTCCTAGCCAAGGTGTGCAGGGCTCTGGCAGTAGAGAGGAATTGGAAAAACGTGCCAGCTTTGCTACTTCCAGTGGCAGATGCAAAAGAAAGTGCTTGAGTTAGCAGTGCACTTTAAACTCTGAGTCTAGGTAATGGTCAGGAGACAAGCAGAGCCAAGAGCTGCAGCACTCCTCTGTAAGACATACTCCTGCAGAGAGGTTACATGGGCACGTTTGGGAAGTTGGTAGGCTCATGATTCTGCATCACTTAAGCTCCCAGTCTTCACACTTAGGTATCAATGGCACAAAACCTGAGCAGATTATTATCCAGCCTAAGAAGGAAGATCAGACAGGGACTCTGAGCTCCTTTAAAATGTCACCCTGAATTTGGCAGGTTCCTGATCAAATGGAACTTTGGCACTTTTCTAATGAGATAAACATGCCAAGTGTCACCAATCTGGCAGGTCTTGCCTGCTAACCTCATGGGATTCTGTGATCTTACAGGATCTTTTCAAATCCAAATGATGCTATGATTCTAACCAAGCATCAAAAGGGTCAGTCACGTCACTGATGCTAGTATTCAAGTTCTTGCTCCCTGATCACCTCCATGTCCTCCATGATAACCTGCGCTCTAGCTCTGTAATGGAGTGAGCCCATAACCCTCCAGAGAACAAAAGTCAGACCCAGAAAGAGGAGGTGAAATGATGGGTTCATGCTCAGAGTTACTTAGTGGGCTTATAGCTTTATGTGGCATTAGAGTGTTGGTCCTGCAAGCATTAGTTATCAAAGACAGGAATAAGCAGTCATGAGACAAATATACAGAAGCAAAGGATAACATCATTCAAGGAATTAATGTCTTGTTAAGCCCTAATTCTAATTTTTGGGGGGAAAAAAACACACAGTAATAGAAGTGAAAAGACCCCTCAAGGTACCATGAACAGTTCAAGATTCCTGCCTGCAGAAGATACTCTTAGGACAAGCACTCAACTCTGGCATTGCTTTCTAGTCTGGGATCTTACACCATGGCAGCAGGAATCCAGCAACTTCACCTTTCAGGTCTTTGGGAGTCAGATGGGATGAGATACATTAGATATGGCGCAGTATTAGATGGGATTTCCTGTATCTTTTCAGGACACAAAAGCTCACCCTCAAGCTAACTGCTTGCAAGCCAATAGCTGTATTATTTTAACAGAACAGATTTCATACCATATCCAATAGCCAAAAGTTGTATTATTGTAACAGATCTCATACCATATCCTCTTAGTACCCCAATACGATAACCTCGACAGCCTTGGCTTAGGAGCTTACTTCACAAGCCAGACAGCTTAATTTTCTGTTGTCTTTATCTTAAAAATGTGCTTACTGGAAACAACACAAAATCTGTTTATCAATCAATACTATTTTTAAGAAATGATCCATAGGAAGAAATACCTATAGAACCTTGAGGGGCTGGGGAGGGAAGAGACTTTCAAAAGCACTTGACAGCTAACTAATTGCTTTATATGAAATGCTTGATCTAGTTGTAACTAAACCATTCATGGTTTCAGTCTCATGCAATACTGCTTTTAAAAAGGCCCTCACTTCAAACATCTGTGATTCGGGCTAATGGCTGGCTGAATGCAAAAGCTTTAAATCTGTTAAAAAGAACCAAGTCTGGTATTTTCCATGCACACAACAAAATCCATACCATGTATCGCAGCTGCCAATAAGGAAACAAACCTTCATGGAAAATCTTTATGGTCCTTCTGATGAGAGTTAACAAAGACACTTTTGTTTCTTCTTCTTTTTTATCCTCCTGACAATCCCTGGCATCTTCTGCTGCAGCAATTCCAGCTAAGTTTCTAAACAGCAATTTGAAACACACCTAAACTGACCATAATAATTTTTACCTGCCTTGACCCCTACCTGCAAGTTCTACAGACATTTCTTGGAGGTCTCTGCCCTCATTGCTACCAACCGCACTTTCTTCCTCTTTCCTGCTTTGCCCAGATATTCTTTTGACTTTTTCTACAATTCAGTGTCTTCTAAATTGCTTCTTTTTCAGGTTTCCTTTCTAAAACCTTTTTTTTCTTAACAGTTCTGCAAGCTGCTTTTCCATTCCCCCTCCCCCTGCCTGTACCCCTCAAATACACTGCCATCTTCTCAACAGTGTAACTGATCTCCTGTTCAACAGATCAGATTTAATCTTCACAAATTCACTTTCAGACCCGGGCCAATTCATTTACTTTCTGTCTGGCCCCGGTTTTTAATGTTCTGCTGGCTCCATGTTGTTAGCTGCAGTTCTCCAGGAGCCTTGCTGTTGTTTGCCTTTGCTTTAGCACACTTATGGTACTCTTTGCTGATCCTACTGCCCACCTCCATTTCTTTAAAACCCAATTTTTCCTCAGCAACTCCAAGATGCTGACCCAGTGTGGCCCCATTGCCCACATCTGCAGATAGGAGCTCTGTGACACTCTCAGAGACAACACCCCGTGTAAATACATCAAAGACAAGATGCTGCCTAGAATCAGTAGCAGTAAGTTATGAACCAACCCTTGAAGTGGTTTATACATGACCCAAATGAATGCTCACGTAAGGACATGATCCTGCTGTTTCTGAGTCTAAGAAGTTTAAATAGAGTTATGTTCCTCTTCATTCACACAGGTATTTAAAAACCAATTATTAGATAGCACTGAAAGATGAAAAGAACAGATTATTCCCTAAATATTGGACACAGACAGTTTCAGAGAACTGCTGTGGTAGTGTCAGAGGTGGTCAGCAACATATTTGTATTTCAGACTGAGAGGGAAAGTTCATTTAAGACCTTCTGCCCGCTAATCCTATACTACACTCTTCAGATTATGAGTAACCTCCTACCTATTTAGTTTAGCTACCTCCCAGTGTAAATTCAACTACGCAGAAAGGCGTTTTTATTCTGGGATAAGTACCTACACGCCTAGTTTTTCAAGATTAGTGAAAACCAGCTTTCCTGCCTATAAACATGCTTACTATTCATGGAGTAGTGCTTTAGCTGAGCATTTGAGGACCATCCACAATTCTGCTGAAGACTGATACAGGACAGCAGATCTAAACATCCTGATACTTAGAAACACATCCAAGAAGACATTAGTTAACAAGTCCTGAAGTATATTAATTTATAACATACACTCATTGTATAACTTATACTATATTTATAACATATTGTATTTCTTGCATTATCTATGATTTTCAGTCTCGACACACAAAACCCCACTACCACTTCTTAGCTCTAATTTTTAAATGCAAAAACTCCAGCTACAGTACATTAGCTATCAAGTACTGCAAAAGCAGCCCTATACAATAATTCCAAATAAACACGGAACTGTCATAGAAGATGTGTTAAAAGATGCCTCCTGGTAGTTCTTCCCACAAGATGCTAGAACAGACATTAGACCGTATTTTAAATGTTTGATCAAGTGATTTCATTTGCCTTATTTTATAGCCATTCTCAATGTGCCTGACACATCCCAACGTGTAAGAGGTTCTTATTACTTCAACCCACCAAGTCCTTCTTGGCCAGTTATTCTCCAGTACTCCCAGTTTAACAATCAAAAGCCTTAATACTTTTTTACCAGCAAATTTGCAAGCGGTATGAACAAGAATGCACAAAGTCACATACCAGGCAATGCAAGCAGAGAGTCAAAGTCTCTGCAGTTGGATACTCCAGTGCTGTCTTGTGCACAGCTCTTCCACAGGTTTTCAAACAACGTGGTCGTTGTGATCACACTGCCATGTAAACTGGAGACTTTCCAGTAATCATTCGGCAAAGTAGCTCCAATAGTTGCCAACCCACCCAAGCACAAAAGAAAACTAACAATTTCCAACGTAGAAGTCATCCTTGTGAGTAGTAACAGTTAAATATCCCTATAATTAGATTACGATCAAGTGAAGCCTTCAGAAGCCTCCTTGCTGTTTAATCTCTGGGTTTCACTCCAAAATGAGGCTACCTTTGCTCTTTGCTCAACCCCAGATAAGGCTTACAGTGCATGACAATAAGAAGTGGGAGCAGTTCATGATAAAGTTATTAGCATTTAACAAAAAAAATGGCAAGATTCATTCTTTTTTCTAATGAGAAGTGACAAAATGAGCCTATTCTTGCCTTAGCCTGAAAGCCCAGTCAGTATTTCTACAAAATGTCTTGTAACAGGGATAATATTGGCAAATACCTTATTTCTGTTTCTCCTCTGGAGTCAACTAGGGTTTACACAAGATTGAAATGGCTTTTCATTTTATTATTGCTCTCAAATCAAAAAAATTTACTCTGTTATATTGTTGATGACTCAAGCATAAAAAACGCTCGAGAACAGGAACTTTATTCTGTTGCTATAAAATTTAACAAAAGAAACTCTTTTTTGAAGTTACAGTCATGAGTGATCCATTGCAACTCTACTGCCAGCTTCTTTCAGGAAGGATACGTCTGTGGGTGAGTGATTTCCATTAATATTTTACAGTCTGTTGATCTACAGTTGAACACATTCCATCTTAAAAATAGTCCCACTTACACTGGAATACAATTATAATAATATCATATATTTCACAGAAAGGAAATAGAAGGGAACAGATGAGCCACTGTGACAGACCCATCTCGAAAGGAATAAAATGATGAAGGAAACCAGCTAGCTGAGAAATCATAAATATCAGCTGCTTGCATCTGTTTGTCAGAATATTGTGATATTAAAACAAAATGTATCTGTTCTAGGCAGAGTAGAAGCATGTTAAGTTTGGTCTACTTGCTTCTTGACTAAACAAACCCATAGACTCGCTTCACATCACCCACTGATGTTAATACCTTCACCGGTTTGTGTATCCAAACGGGGTTAACCATCTCTTGCAGTGATAACCTGCTCTTATCTCCAGGAAATGGAGTCACAGTTTCTTCATAAAATAATCCTGCTATGACGCAACATGGTAAGAGATTCACAGCATTTACATAAAGGCTACCACAAGAATTAGCCGCTGAGTCACAGCATGCCCGTAACAGAAACATGGGGTTTCTTCCACAACGCACTGGTCAGCTTGAGCTGATGCTGTAGGCTGGTGGGTTCATGCAGCCTCGACAACCGAGAGGATCATTGCTGTTGATACAAATAAGAACAGCTGTGCAAGCACAGCCAGTGTGATCCTGCGCAGCTCTACAGCTGCAAACTATTAAAGAAACTAGATGGCCTGTGGTAAGAACTGATCTTCTCTGGTGACTTGGAAGCATCAGTTCTGGGCTCCTGCTGCGACAGTCAACATATTTGAAGAACCGGCATGTTCTTGCACAGGAATCACTGCCTGGTTACGTGGTTTTAGAAAACCTTCCTGGTTTCTATTATCCCAAATATATTTTTGGCTTTTAAGGAGGTTAAAAAATAAGCTGAATCTTGAGAGTTAAACTCTCACATTTGAGAGATCTGCCATAGGCAGCTTTGACTTCAGTGGAATCCATGTTTATGTCAAGAAAAACAAGTGTTCATAACCTGTGAGAGGCGGAATTTACAAGTTTTGAGCTCTGCACATAGAGACTAAGTCAGCTGGAAAGAGTCCAAACAGCAATGACAGTAATCAAGGACCTATAAAGCAAGGAAAGCTTGAAGAAATGATTCCATGATACAACTCATAAAGTGACTGCACGACACTGAAAGTTGTAAAAGAATAAACACAGAGTTGTTTTGAGCACAAAGCTTAAGAAAACACCAGGTTTTAAAGGTTTTTACTGTGACTGTGCCAGCACTCAGTTTTCCGAGGAAAGGACTTCAGTGTCAGTCCTTCCTGGCCCTTTACTATAACAGTAGTGTTCACAGAAAGATATTTTTTACATCTAGAACAACCTAAAGAGATAATTTTAAGTCCCTGTAAAGACAAATCTCCTTCTATTTGCTTATAAACTACCCTGCTAGCACAGCCTATCTCAGAAAATCCCGAAGAATCAGTGGCACAGACATGTTTTAGTTTAAGCTGGCCACTTCTGAGAAATCCCAGAACAAAAACACTCAGCATCAAGTATCAAATAAGTTCTGGAACATATAAGTTCAGACTCACACCAAGGCACGAAAAAGCACCAGTGTTCGTTGACCTATGATCTGTTTTTAGTTAGGCATTAGGCCAAGTAAAAGCATGCTAGTTGTTCCAAAATAATAATAATAGATAAAAAATAAATAATTATCATAATGAATAAATAAAATCATCTTAGATTCATTGTGTACCTATGTGCACACAACAGAGATGGCAGCAAAGCCACATCAGTTACTGAGCTGAGTTACAGCATGAAGCCTATAGATTTCACTGGGGCCCTTTAACCTGTCTGCAGGTACTACAGGAGAAATCCTGTCCATACTAGACCCTCTGTGACCCCTGCAGTATATGCTGCCCCACCACTCTAGCATGCTGGCCAGAAGGAAGGAATAGAATTACATTCCTGGGTTTTATCTACATATGCCATGCAGACTTACTGTCTGAACTCAACATGTAGAGAAATTTCTTGCACTGAAGTGATCTAACAGCAGTCACTGCACAGTCCATCCAAAGGCCTTCAGAAATCCAGTCTGTAGTAACTAGCACTGTTCCAATGTCTGAAACCTTCCATCTGTTGGACATGGTAGTAACAAGTAAAATGGTGAATCCTGCTAAAGCCAGCAGCAAGGAACAAATCTGTAGACAAGATGATGTCATTCTTCTGACAGGAGTTATTTCCAAAGAAGCCTTCCCAAAATCCTGAGCTTAGAATCCTGTTGGATGAATTAATACACACAGAAGAGTTGGAGTTATCTTTACACAAGCCAGACCTTTGTGAAAACCTCATAAAGATGGCTACCTAAGAACTAATTCATTACATAATGGAATTGTTGAAATGGAATCTAAATCTCCCTAAATAATTGGAATACCTAAATATTCCATGACATCTGAGTATTTTCTTAGGAGCGCTTTTATTACTCTACATGTTTACTGTGTAAAATACTGACAGAGCAAAACCAGAGAACTCAGCTGAGGAAGGAATTCTCTAATTTGAATTTGCAGTGTTTCATCCATTCTTTACTTGTTTGCCAACTCAAAACTCTTACAAAATTAAAACTGTAACATGCTTTAAGAAGTTACTAATTTCCCCATTGCAGTGCCCAGCAATACAAATGGAAAACAAAATAAATGTGGATACTCACGTTTATGGTATGTTTCTAACGCATTTCATCTACCTTCCTGCTAGAGAATGGTGTCAGCACTTTGTGAAGACGAGTTTGATCAAACAAGTGAGGGGTTTGTACCTTTTAGAACCTTTTCCCCCGTTCTAAAATCAAGGACCCGGGGTGAAAGCTCTGCCCGACCGTTGCACAAGAGCTCACACTTGGCTTTTGGCTACAGAAACAGACAAACAAGATTACGACAAAATCATGTATATTAGCACCAAGGGCACTCAGCTGAACCTGCAACCATTGGCATAGAGTTTGCTTTGTCAGTGCCACTGAGCTTCTCACACCCCATTGGACTCCAAAGAAATATAGAAAGCTATTCCCATTTTCACAATGATTGTTTTACTTGAGAGTTTAGTTGCACTTTTCCCCAAGGCACTGTTTTCATGGGAGGAGGCCTGGGTCCACATAAGCCAGGCAACAACTGGAGGCAGGTTTTGTTTTAGGATGCAGCCCATGCTGTGAAGGAATAGGCAAGCTTCCTGCATTAAAAAAAAAAGAAGGATTGGAGCTTCCTCCCATCCTCATGCATTTTAGATGGCTGCAAGCCTGGGAATTTGCAAAGAAAGAAGGATTAAGTTTATACCCCTTTTTCAAATGTGTACATTCCACTGCAAAAGTTTAATCTCACATTGAGAAGGGAGCATCTGTCCCTCAAGTGATTGCGTAACCTCTTCAAAACACACTCAGCTGTCAAAGAATACCTGTAATAAATGATGCATTTAAATGAAGCAGGCAAATAATCCTAATAAATGTTTCTTACCTATTACATTGATATCACCTGTACAGCAATGCATCCCTGGCAGCAAGGAGAAGAAAAGAAACCCAGATGCTCTGCACCATCACTGTGGGTGGGACGTACGCCAAAGTTGTAAATGCAAACTTCTTGTTAACGTACAGTAGTTAAAAAAAATCATAGGTTTCAAAGTGAAGCTCGGAAACTACGTTTCACAAATACAGAAGCATAGCATAGAATGGTTGAGGCTGGAAAGGACCTTTTTGTTTTCCAGATCTTCTGAAGACAAGCATGCAAAGAAAACATGTATTACTTGGAATGCAAAGCATGAAGCGCTGGTCTTTGCATCCTCTGGGGCCAGGGAGTGGGTCTGGTGTCTCAGAGAGGATTGGGAGCCCAGTGATGGGTCACATATAGATAGACAACAGAAGGCAGGAACAGAGAGCCCTAGAGCCTCTCCTTAAATGCAGCGGATAAAAAGGTGGGGGGGGGGGGGAGGGGAGAGGATAAGTAAATAAATGCTTTTGTGTTTGTTATATTTCCCTGGCAGCACCTAAGCCCTGTAGTGAGTAACCAGTGCAGAAAGACAGCAGCCCAGTGGATAACATTAATAAACAAAACTGTTTGTGATTTCAGGTGTGCCCTGAGGCAGGGCAGACCTCCCGGACTCCTTGTCCTGAGCCGCAAATGCTTTGCTGCTGTTGTTTCTCCTCTGTCTTCCTCCGCCCCAAGGAGTCACTGTCACTCATCCCTTCCTGACCCTGTTACTACCATGCAAACCCCGTGGAACACTCCAGATGAAAGCTTATTCTGGGCAGCAGTCATGCACAAGACTGCTATCCCCATGTGATTGCGATACAGTAATGCATCTGAAATGCATCCCTTTATCAAGGTGAGAGTTCACTAACAGGAACCATCTGCAAAAGAAAAGATTCCAGAAGCGAACGGCTTGTTACTCCAACCAACACCACCTTCATCCTCCTCTTTCAACCTGTAACACAGACACCCTGCCCTTCACAACTGGATTATAGTAGCCCATACCCTGCACTGTTCATAGCTTAGAGATGGTGGTCCAGCCAACAGCACGTATGCTTTTCAACTGCCCAAAGGAGAATGACCATAAACCAAACTGAAATAAATACATAAGGCCCAGAGCATCATCCCTCACAAGCTGCACACATGGGTTACATTAAACTAAGGGTTGTAATGTGATAAAAACAAGCTCCGAGCAAGCAAAAAGGTCACCTGAACATTAAAAACAGCGCAACCAAAATGTATGTATGTGGTTTGAACACAGGACAGGAAGGGTTAACAAAGAGAAATATTTAAGTCACTTAAACAAACAAATCGCTCCTGATAAGGTCTCTGGAAGCAAAAATGAGTAAAAAAAGAGTCTAAAATGCAAAATGGAACAGGTCTTTTACATTATATTACGTAGAGCAAAAGAGGCAGAGCACTGTTTACAACCCTGCTTTCATGTACATGTACGTATATACATTTTTAAACCAGCAATATACGCCTTCGAACCTGCCTATCGTTTCTTAGGTCAAGCGAACTCTGAGGCTGACCCATGGCCGCCAGTGCAATCAGGAAGAGATAAAATGCAGATTTAAATATAGTACTAAACCACTTAGAGCAGTTTCCCACCACAAGCTTATAGAGGTTTTCTCAGGTCAAAGCTTGCCCTTGAGTTTAGAAGGCAAACTCTTTCACTACTTGTTAAACGCTTCCAAACAATTTAACTTTGTAACCATGCAATTGGAGTTGCTGAAACTTATTAATAGTCTGATCAGGCTTATAGTGACCTGCACTTAGAATCACAGAACGATTTGGGTTGGAAGGGACTTTAAAGCTATTCCAGTGGCAGGGGGTTGGAACTGGATGAGATTTAAGATCCTTTACAACCCAAACCATCCTGTGATTCTATGTATGATTCTGTGATGTGCAGGGCCCATCAGGAAGTCTGAGGTCCACTTTAGAAGAAATTGGACTGACCTTTAATGTAAAGGCAGTGCAATTTAACTGCAACTTTATTAGGTTATAATCTGGCTCTCCAGTGTGTATTCAAGTAACTGCAGCTCTGAATTCACCAGGGCAGAGTCTAACCGGGTATGTCTGATCTCTCAACTCAGAGGCACTGTTATTTCTTGGTGAACAAGCAGTGGTGTCTGAAGATAGTTCGGCTGCTGCCATGGCTCAGGGCTGTCTGTGCTGCCCATTTTAGAGCAGCTTTGCTCACAGAAGCCCTGGGCTGGCATGCTCAGGCCATCACATACCCAGTTTGGCTGAGTGGTTTCTTGCCTCTTCCTCCCTTTATCCCACTTTTATCTGGGATCATCCTCCTCGTCCCGTGAGTGTCCTTGTCACCTCTCCGAGCAATCAGGACTGTGGTGGCTCCACAGAACAAAGCCCAGGAGGAAGCAGGCACTCAGCTGAGATTCCCAGATCATCCCTGGGGACTTAGGAATTAACCGCAGTGAGAGCTTTGTGCCCAAACCTCCCAGCAGCCGCGGGTACCCTCAGCTGTGCTCGCGGGTCCTGGATGCTGCTGAACAATTTCCATTTCCACTGCTGAAAGCGCCTGTCACCTTCCCCGCAGCACGATGACTCTCTTACTCCTGCACAGTCTGTGTCAGCGACAGCAACCAGGGATTTGCTGCGTCCACACTGACCTCTGCTTAAACCTGTGCTTATTGCTTGCTGCCATTGATAAACGCAGGTAGTGGGTTTGCAGTGTGCTTCAGGGGAAGCTCTTAACCCTTCCAAGTGTTACTGTGCTCTCTGCCCTTGGTTGATGTCCAAAACTCAGGTCAGGACATCTCTGAGTACACACACAATTCACCTGGGAAAGGTGCTTAAATTGACCTGAGGTGGATGCTGTGCACAAGGCAGGTTGCCAGGGGAGCCTGGTGGGTGGGGATAGGAGCTTCAGAGCCTCTAGGACCTCGTGGTACAAGAGTATCCTCCCTCTGCAAGCATGGGCTCGCTTGGCAAAGGCTGGACAAAGAGAAGTGGACAGCTTGGAACAGTAAGTCAAGTGGATGCTTACAGCAAGGAGCTGGCCTTGGGAGCTGTTGCTGGGGCTTAATGAGAACTCCCCTGAAGCTCTGGAACAGTGGGCAGTGATGCAGTGGCTGTGTAACAGTAGTTCATGGTCTCTCCTAATAGAAAAGTTGGGATAGGAGAGGAAATACTGATGTTGATCAAGGAACATGCACGGCTGATGCTCCCATCCAGAAATGCTGCAAGATCAAGTGAGATTTTAAGGAAGATTTTTGTATCCCTCCTAAAATGACTGTTAGAGTAAGGCTTAAAAGCTTCTCACTGCAGTCATAAACCCAGGAACACGTTCTCTGTATTCAGAACAGAAATGTTTTCATTAATCCTTGATTCAGAGCTTAGGCTTCCTTAAAACCCCCATGCATTCCGTGCCTTGTCATGGAAACAAGAGTGGGAAAAGCAAGTTGCCAACTCTGTGATCCATTCTGGTTTAAGGCTCGTCCGTGAGAGCAGCACAGCTTTCTCCTGGCAGATCTGGTGCTTTTGTTCTACAAAGCAGGTTCTTTACCCCAGTGTAACAGTCTGGAGCCCAGGAGGTCAGACTGCAGCAGAGCACAGGGAGAGGTGGGGAAGAGCACAGCTGGAGACAGGGCTTAAAATGACTTGAGGCGATTGCCTTTAGAAACCAGAGAAATCCTTCCACCCACAAAATAACCAAGGAGCTGTTTTCTTTGCTTCGTTTGCCTTCAGTCCCAGTGAACTGAGGGACACTTCTCCGTTTCCCCACTAGAGTGGCAGCAGGAGCTCTGCTCGCTAGAGCTGCTTGGTTTGTCATTGCAGCTGCTTGTACTGAGCTCATTATTAGAGCTGCTCATACTTGGTTCTTCCCTGCTGCAGGTTCCCCTGCAGTGAGTGCTCCTTCCCCCAGCTGAAGGAACTCTTTCGCTATCAGCAGTAAGTGCAGGCACTGGAAGATCAGATGTCCAGGTGAACACAAAATGCAGGTACAAGGGGGGGCACAGACCACATGGTGCTCTGAAGCAAGGGGCAGCACTGCAACCCCTGGGTACTGTGCTTCTCGACAGGATTTGCTTTGGAGCTGTAAAGCTTTTGCTCAGACATTTTTAACAGCATTAGCTTTCAATCCCTTTGCTGCATTAAATAGAAGAGGAAAGCAAGGAAATGAGAGATGTAGGTGAGGCAGAAAGACAGCAAAGGAGCACTTTGCACTTTGATGCCTGCATAGGACCTGTGTCTGAGCATCCTTTGTTGCTGTTATTTTGGGGGTCTAGTCTGCATCCCTGGCTATTGCAATCCCCTGATTGCACCCCACTGGGA